GAATTTCAACAAAAATTCCATTATTTTCATTCCAGATCCGAAGATCAAAATGATCATCATGTTAAGGTTGAGCTGAATTTGAATGTGCCAAAGTCAAATCTGCTAACATTTGCCATATTCTCACGAGATTATGACAAGGATATAATCACAAACAAACAGATCTAGAAAGGATGTCATCATAATCACGTTGTGTGTTTTGTCAAGCATTATCTGGATGAGGCACATCCATTGCGTCAATCATTGATAGAACTATGTTGATATCATTTTGTTTTATGAAAAAAAAAACATTGGGAATAAAATAATCGATTCACTTTAGCGGTTTTCGATTTTATTATCTTTTCAAGACAAACAAACGATTCTCAGTTTCAAACTTTGAATAAGTTATCCGGCACATTTACTTTGCTACAGCCCATCCTTATCAATTTTTGTACGCGCAAATCGATATGTCGCCATAAATTGTATTCTTCATTCGTTGGATTTGCACCGACTGCAATATCTCCCGTATCCATGATTACGACATAGGATAAATTTCGGAGTGGATGTCGACTGATTCTTGGGAAGTTAGTTAAACTGCCTGTTCGTGAAACTGGATTTCTGTTGAATGGATGCATATTAAAAATATTGTTCTATTGAAAAGAATTTTTAGGGAATTAGATTTTGTTTCTTCGTCAAAATCGATTCGAGTTTACAAAATGTGAAAACATCTTACCCAGTGGACGCATACGATACCAAAATATCAATCATTTCCTCGCTCGTTTTATACGCATTCATGTATGCCATATTGGTGCTTTTGTATTTGTCAACGGCTGCATAAAGAGAGGCAGAAGATTTGCAACTGAAATAGAATATATTGATCAGATGGAATGCAATGTAAGCGAAATTCAAGAATGGTCACGTTTTGCAGACTCCAATTCATTTTATGGAAATTGAGACGAAACTTTCGACTTTTTCTACAAATTCATTTGACACGGTGAATAATTATTACTACTGATAAACTGATTTCATAACTGAGGTGGATGAAACATAACTGAGGTGGATGAAACTTGAAGCAAAAAAGAGACAAATAAAGTTGCGAACAAAAATGACATAACTCCGTAGAAAAATTCATTTTTCTCGCTATTTATTTCCAGTAGCGAAAAAAATGCAAAAAAAAAACGAGAAAAAAAAACAAAATTACTAAAGTAAGTGGCACAAATCTTCTGTGTGTCCAGGACCAGGCAGTGCTGCTATGTGTGGATCTGATGCACCGAATATATTCAGTGGTGTCTTTTGATTATTGCTGGGAATTAAAAATGAAATTATATTCCGTATCTTAGTAGCTCTGGGAGAAAAACTCACATTTGTAATCTTTGTGGACATTTTGCCCTTTTGGCACGAATATTGACATCTCTTTGTATCGGATAAATGTAAGTGTAGTAACTCAACATTCGAACATATTGCATAATTGTTGATGCATTGATTGTGTTGTTTCCGAAGTAAAATTGGCGCATTTGAGCGAGGATTGGTTTCGCCGCCTGAATTATGATCGAAATAGAGATAAATTAAATTTGGCTTTGAAAAATAGAGAAAGAAAAAGAATCCAAAGCGAACAAAATAGTAAGAACTCACTTCTTTACACTTCACTTGATCGAAATTGTGAAACGGTAGACGAAAATAGAAGTTTCGATTCAAGTCCTCAATTAATGTTGGATCATCAATTCCGGCTTTGATGTATGGAATCATTTCCTAAAATATGCGATTTCATTTTCGATCATTCTTCCAAATGTCGGACATAATCCGAAAAAATCAAACCAATTACCATTGACACATAAGTGTAAATAGTCGACGGAATATCATCACATTTCGAAGACATCGAATGGTAAATATCCAACGGGTCTTTTGTTAAGAAAGGTTTCCGTGCGTCAATATCTGGAAAAAATCGATTTTTTCATTATTATTGCCAGAAAAATTCATTCTTTGCCGAAGGATCTTCGTATTGTCAAGAAATTTCAATGAAATTATTTAACTAAAGATAAATTTAAACAAAAATCAAATGCTTCAAAAATATTTTCAAACAATCGGTATCAATAAAACCGTTAAAATTTAAAAAAAAAAGTCAAACAAACTTTCAATGGCTGCCGACCAAGTGGGAAATCGATCAATGCTTGTTCCGTTGATGTAAGTAAGTTGAAGCCAAACTGAAGTTGGGATCGTTTTTATTGCTTCAATTAATTGTTCATCTGTGGTAACATTTATGCCTAATGTTTGAGCAGCCGTTCGTAATTGTGGTCTTAAATCATTAGTTTCCATTTGAGCGTTTAAACTTATTGCCGAGCCACTCATTGCATAAGCTCGATTGAAGAGTTTTCGCGATTTTTTATTCAGAATATGAAAACCAACAGATGCTGCGCCTGAAAATGTTCAAATGATAATTTCAAATTGTGCCAGAAAAGTATCGAAATATGTTCATTTTTTATGTGATCCAACATCTTACCAGCACTTTGACCAGAAAGCAAAATGCGGTTTGGATCGCCACCAAAGGCTGAAATGTGTTCCTTAACCCATTGCATAGCCAATTGTTGATCTTTTAGTCCCATATTTCCTGAGTATTCAGGCAGGGCCAACGGAAGGAATCCAAACACGCCAACGCGATAGTTCATCGACACAAAAATTACACATCGATTCAGAATTAATTCCGGTCCTCTCTTATTGCTTCCGCCTGAAAACCATGATTATTCGAGAGACTTATTGAACAAAAATCAATTTTTTTAGAGTGTACCTCTGGTGAAGGCACCGCCGAAAATATAAACTATAATTGGGATATTGGTCGTATTGCAATTGCACACCGAAGCACTTGGTACAAAAACATTGAGAAATAAGCAATCTTCCGATTGAGGAGATTTCGAACCACCGTCAGATGTTTGAATACAAACCGAACCGTAGTCAGAAGCATTTAGTGTGCCTTCCCATGGTCCAGTCGCAACGGGAGCCTAATTTTGAATTGAAAAGAAAAAAATATAAAGACGAAATCATTTTAATTGAAATTTTTTTTTTAATCACATGTTATGCATACCTTAAATCTTAAATCGCCAGTCGGTGATTGAGCAAATGGAATGCCACGATAACCACAAAATGAATTTCCACCCCAAATCGTGCTCAATTGAACACCGCCAATTTGGCCTAGTTTCGTTTTTACCACTTTACATCCAAATTCTACGTTAGAACACACTCTTTCACCACTTCCGATGCCCAAAATAATGAATAATAAGTATAGAAAGAATTCAAAAGAATTTTTCAACACGACCATAGCTCAAAACGTTTTTAATTTGTCGGAATCGATTTATTTTCTAATTAAATTTCGAACCAACGTTCAATTGAACGATTTGTGGACAAGTGAAAAATAGTTGGATGAAAACGACTTTTTATGGGCTCAACCACAGAGCTGGAAAAAACACTCTGTGTGTGCGCGCACGTAACTAAGAACGCACAAACAGTAGATGTGCAGCGCACACAGTGCTTGTATTTTTGGTGTGCGTGCACATTTACATAGATTTCGGTTCTACTGTCAAATTTTGTCGAAATCTATGTAAATGTGCACGCACACCAAAAATACAAGCACTGTGTGCGCCGCACATCTACTGTGTGTGCGTTCTTAGTTACGTGCGCGCACACACAGAGTGTTTTTTCCAGCTCTGCCCAACCAAGTCGTACCCACTCAAGTGCCAACGCTACGTCTTTTAAAAGATGTGGTTTACGTATTCATGCCTTTCTCACGTCTTCTATATATAATTACCACACGAAAGACGTACGTTTTCTGTGCAGTGATAAATGGTATAGCTGAAATTACCCTCACGCCATTCCCTCGCGTATTCTGTATACCATTGCACAGAAGACGCACGTCTTTCAGACAGGAAATTATATAAAAGTTGTGAGAAAGGCGTGAACACGTGAACCACGTTTTTTAAAAGATGTAGCGTTCGCACTTGGGCATTGATTTAATTCATGTGTAATATATACGTGGTCGGCCAAATTAATTTGTTTCAAATTATCAGGTAAACAAATAATGTTTTCGGCAATGTAACAACAATTAAAACACTATTAGTACCTACGTCTGGTCTTTATTGAACCAATCCGTAATAGAAATTTTGAAGGCATATCCAATATATCCGCTGTGAGCTCACACGTACTATGTTCACTCTGAAACAATTTGAATATGAGTGAAAGATGTTACTTTCGTGTATTCAACAAAACCAAAACTTTTTTCTGTTTGCATCGCAAACGAACGAAGATTTGGTTTCCATACTTTTAAGCCTATCCAAAAGCTTAATTGGTATTTAATGGTTATGTCTGGAGCTAAATAGCCACCAAAAGTAAACATTGTTATTTGTTATTTCTGGTTAGTTCCAACGCAGATCTCAAACTTTCAACACACCATCGATGTGCATCGAATGTTGAATAAAATATAAATAGTAATTGGAAAAATTGTTCAAAATAAAAATGCGGAACGTTTTATCAGTTTCATTTGCATTTGCATTTCTGTGTTCAACACTTCAGTCTACAAACCTATCTAAAAATCGTCACGATGAAGCTTACTCCCGTGTGGCTAAAAATCTAACAAGAGTTCTCAGTGAGTTCTATCAATATAAACACGATACATACATTATATATGCTCCCTTCATAGTTGAGCCAGAAGAAAACTTGTTCAGGGACGTTTTTTTACAAAATATTAAGAGATATTCCTCCAGGATTTAATTATAATGATTTATGTTGCTCTTATGTTATTAGATGTGAGCTTGAACAAAGATTTAGACTGAATCGCACGAACGATATTAACCATATATTTCAATCGTTTATGTGAAGCTGCGAGTGTGAACGGGAATTTTATGAATGTTTACATAATAATAGTGACGAATGGCGACTAACATACCCACAATTTAGTGAAATGCTAGGATTGGTGTCTACTGTGAATTCGAAAAAATGCTATTCAGTGAATCATCATCCGATTGTGAAGTGCAAAAAATTCCAATACTTTTTTGAGCCAACGGCAAGATTCGACGAAATTCCAAAAGAAGGCGGAACAGACAGCATTCGATGCCTGGAGTATGAATTGGAAGAAAGCAATCCGAAAATATATCAAGACACATTTGACGTACCATTTCAATTCCAACACCTCAATCCGGACATATTAAGAGATATTAGTCGAATAAGAATAGATTTAATTATGCAATCCGCTTCACCATAAATGAAACTATGCAAATAAAATTCTTAGTTAAAATGAACATAAATAAAGTTTTGTGATTTTTGTATTGAAAATTTCGTAGTTTTTCTGAAATGTGATAGAGTTTTCAATGGAAAATGTGAGGTCATCAATTTAGGTAGAACTATCGAAAGAAAACGTGGAAATAAGCATTGGAGAGTGGAAATGTGAGTTAAGTATTCAAATTAATGGGAATGCACTGAAGTGTTCTGGTATTCGAAGACATTGGGTGTACTCCGTACCTTCGCAAAAATAAATATTTTTGGTATATTTTCCACATTAAAAATACAAAATTGATAAATAATTCGAGATCTTTGTTAATGGAAAAATGCGGTTAAAGTCGGAAAATTTAAAAGTACATGACTCGAAAGTAATAAAACTTCAGTAAAATCATACTTGGCTTTCACATAACAAAGCCACAAAATTTCATTAAAATCCCAATAATCCCTTTGCATAATGGAGCAAATGGGGTAAATTATACATGCGTAAGAGTGTTTTCTTGCTCCGTTCTGCTCTGAACGTAATCATATCAAACACAAAACTCGTTTTAAAAATAGTTTTCATGAAAAATGTTCGATCGGCTTTGATTGATGATTCTAATGCGAAAATATATAAACAGTGTACAAAACACGAACCAAGTCAGTTTGCTTCTACATCAGGCACAGCACACATTCAATAACTGTTCATTTTCTTGTAAAACTACGGGTTTTCATTCCTGATTCGCAAATTATTTGACACGGCAACAGTTTTGTTCAGTGCGTTTTCATTAATTTCTCTCTACGATGAAATTGATTCTCGGATTGTTTATTGTCATTGTGTGTTTGAGCGCAGGTTCGTACCAGTTCAATTATTTCGTGTGCTTTATTTAATAAGTTTTAATCCATTTTTGTCTATCGAACAATAAGCTCAAACGGAAACCGTGGACACGGAACCACAGGGAGATGCGAGAATGGGAGCAAAACATGGGCGATATTTCGTTGTTAATTCTTCGGGTCAAGTATTGCAACGAGTTTTCGTCAAACACCATACGGTTAAAAATCATGACCCAAACTCCGGCATCACAACGTATACGAATTTGGAAAACAATCAATTATCACACCCGACGCCGTTCATTTATTACAACGGGGCATTCAGTCCTTTCGATCATTGGTACTTGGAAGTGACTACGCAAAACGGGCAAATCTACAAAACGAAAACGAATTTTTACTGCAACGTTAGCATCATGGACAATGGCGACGTTTATATCACGATCGATCAAAATCTAAAACTGAAATTCACATTTTCCTCTTCCTCGTCGTGCACGGAAGAACTTTTAATTCAAAATTAATGAACGAATTCGAATTCGTTAAATATAAACGATCGTTTATATTGTGTCAAAACATTGACAATTTCTGAATTGTCTCACTGTTTATGCAAAAAAATACTAACAATAGAACCTCATTTATAATAAAACTTTGTTTGCACAGTTATTATATAGTGAAGATTTGAGTTTGTTTTTAATAAGCATTTACAGATTTTGATATTTATTCGAAATGATAAATTTTCTTGATTCAACGACATCGCATATTGTAGTTCTATGGACGTCGCTGATTTGATTGGGTACATGATTTTGTTACCCAATACGGAATTCCATTTCCATACCGAGAACGTGCTTAGAATTCATTCCAACTAAATCCTTTTTACGGGCAAACAAGAGCAATATTCACAATGGCATTTTGGAGAATGAACCAATCCGTACATTACGTGAAAATTGCTAGGGGAATTTAACTCTTACGAGTTCAGCATGTTTTCTGCCAGTTTGCTTGATTCGCGGAAGTTCGACGCGTTCGTTGTACGTACTGACGCGCACGGTCACAAGTTTACACAAGTTTGTTTATGGTTTTGCGCGTTTTTCAAGTTGTTATTTGACAACCAAAACGCGTTTCAAACTAAAAATTGCTTGTTTACGTGTATAAAGATTTTTCACATCCTTTCCAAAAGTTCAAAGATTTATATAATTATAAAATGGACAAAGGAAATATTTTTAAAGAGCTGGAGAAAGTGTTGGAAAAGTTAATCCAGATATAATAAATGGAACGACTGATGTGTGCGCGTCGTCCAGCTTCAAGTTTGCACACGAACTCGCGCGCGTTCGCGCATGTTGTTTTAATACGGAACTTGTCAACTGAGTGGAATCATGCAAGTTCTCTGGTGAATGTAACAATTTCGTGCGCGTTTATATCATTTTTTTACAAGTTTTCACGTAGTTAAATCCCCCTAGGAAAATTGAGACTCATGAGATGATTTTGGAAAACACTCTAATAAATAACCTTGATCAAATTTGTTGATATAAAACAACGGCAGTTTCTTCATTTTGATTAGCGGCCAATGAAAATTCAATTGTGTCGGTTCGATTTCAAGCAAAAAGAAAATATTTTAGAAATAAAAGCGAGTTCAAATTGCTGTCTATTCAAATACGTATTTGTTTTTTTTATCGAATGCTTTTCATTCAATGTCAAAAGCACTTAGATGGTCTCAATTGCAAAATAAGACGTATAAAAACAGGGACTGTTTTCTAGAGGAGGATCCAAATTGAGAATAACCATTAATATATTTCGACGTCTGTTCAGTTTTTTGAATCAATAATGAGTGAACGAATGAAGAGTGAATTGGTTTTGTCGATTGAAATAAACAAAATTGAACGCGAATTCGGTAGAAATCGAATGAACATAGAATCTTATAAATTACATAGACCTTCACAAGTCTCATATGTTAACGGCGGTATTCCAAGTACACTGACCAAATATACCCATTTTCCATTCAAAATGAATCATTTCATATTTTGAAATATATCTTTGTTAGATAAACAGTGTTTACATTTTTCATTTAACCCAAACACATATCTAGGCTATATAGTCTATCCCATTTTATCGCAGCAGAATATAAGACAAAACCACTTGTTTAATTGAAAATTTCGCCATTTATTGATGAACATGGATGAAAATTATCAAACATTGATCTAGAATTTGAATTTATCGACTCGTTTTGAAAGCTCATATGACCTTAATATGCCGACATCAGCCGAACTGAATGAAGATCAATGTCTACATATGCCGAAACCATACGTTCGCTGTATTGTATAATACCGCTAATATTTTTGGCATTCAATTCACTTGAGTTCGTAAAAGCGTGCTCAATTGAAAAACTATTTAAAAAAAAATTTAAAATTTCCTTTCGTCTAAGATTTCGTTGGTTCCGTTCAAACTCCATATCTGCTTTGGTTGCCAATTTCGGCGGCTGTTTCTTTGACCACTTTGTACAGGGAATATTGGACGTTCCACAAGTAGTAATTAAACGCTGAAACAATTGAAAATGTATGAATTCTTGAATGTATTTTGCTCTAGAAATGAATAATGCTCTCATCTAAGAAATTATTATAGGAAGTATACGTTGCCGAGTGCCATAGGAAATACAATGGACGGATAAAGTGTCACCCAATTTATGCATACACTTCCATGTTAAAAACGGGCAATACTTTATCCTACAACTCAGTTGTCATGACTGTACGATGTTTACCTCCTAAACAATAGACGCAATTCGACGCCGTCAAGCATATGAATGCTCTGTAATTATCCTCCTTTTCGATGTGTGTTTTTGTGACGAAGTAGTAAGTTACGAAGGAAATTGGCATGAGGAAGAGTACAGGCACCGAAACGAATGTCACAATAATCATTGGCAGCATTGAATGCGGTCGTTCCTGGATTATCGGACAAAATTCAGATTAGAAAACCTTTGACAAAAGGAACATTAGAAAAAGAGAAATTCGAAAAAGAAAGAAACAGAACTGCGGATTGAAGAGACTCTTTCAAAAGAGAAAAGACAGTTGTATGATCTTCTTTCTCAAGAAGGCTCAAATCGTTTGTACTCACATTAAAAATTCCATACAGAAAGGCCGAACTGACGATCAAACCAAAATCTACAAAGAAACAAATGGTTTGCGTGAGATTTCTTTTGAATTGAATTGTTTTCTTGGAATAAACTACAGAAAAAATATTTTTGAGAAAATATTTGAAATGAAACAAACTTCCGCTTTAAGCGTTGAGCTTCATGAAGCGGATTTTAGTTTCAACTTGTAGTTTATTATATGCTAAACCATAAATTATATCAAATAACAATTGTTTTTGTAGGCGCAGCGAACGTTGTGACGAACAAAAATGTACTCACAGCACAGCATCAAAGCCCACATTGGTTCTGGAAATCCGATAATAATGTACGAAGCACTTGACAAGACACCCAAAACGCCCATAATTATTCCAGACGTTCGCAAATCAATGCACCAAAAGCAATGATCTACCGTCGAAAATCGCATTTTCTTCACTTCAGACTAATGAAAATGACGGAAAATTAGTCGTTCAATTGAACAAATATACCTTAGCCAAAGGACCTTAGATATATACCTAAAGATGTCACCAAAACTCACCAGAATTTCACTTGAATATTCACCAGAAATTTCTAATTTTTCATTGATTTTTCTTTTCAATAAATTTTCAAATTTATTGTTTTTTTTTTCTTCAATTCAAATCGAAAGAAATTCGCAAAAAACCTTCATTCACTGTGTCAAATGATGATGACTCAGCAAAGTGTCCACACTTAATGACCGAAAATACGTTGATGGAAGCGTTAGAAATTACCAGTTAATGCGAATAAGATGGTGAATGGACGAGAACCAAAAGTAAACGAACGTCTTCCATTGAATGGCTTTTGTGAATGTGGAGTGGTGTGATAGACGTTTTTCATGCGAATACACAAGCACCATGTCATTCAACTGATGAATAACGTACTGTTTTCTTGTGACAAAAATTTCCTTCATTCCACTGATGAACCGTTAAGCAGTTCAACTTGAACAGTCATTGGCCAACGCACACAAATTGTCCATTGAAACACTATCACAAGGCAATGTTGAAAGTCATTTTCAAAATTGCCATTTTCACAAAGCATTCATATTACAGAGGAGGCAAATGTATACATAGCATCTAATTACACTGACTATACGGATATATTTCATATAATTTATGGCTTGTGGTGGATTGGTTTTTGCGCTTTTAAGTGAAAATCGATAATTTATGAATTGTTGAACTCTTTTTTCACAATTCAAATGAAAACACAACACCAGCTAAGAGGTTAAGAGCAATTAAGCAAGCTTTTCCACAATGACATTTTTTTTTCATTTTTCATCATAATTTTAACCATCATTTGAAATAAAACACCAGGCTTCATCATTTCTTTTCGCTTTATTCGCCACAAAATACTGAAACACAACACATTTTACATGAGCAAGAAAAACACGATCGTCCACACAATTTTAGATATGGAAGAAGTATGATGCATGTGATTTGGTCCCTCTCTGTATTAAGCGTAATTTATTATGAGCCATATGTTGAGCGTGATGAGCTTTTTTCGTCCGACGTTTGAGAACCAATTTTTATTTGACGGTGATGAGACTTTCACGAGTTGATTTTAAACGTCGCCACCATTTTTATGGACATGTACGTGTACGTTTGGCCCTCGTGGTGCTCCAGCTTTTATGGATTTGTACAGGGAATAATGCACTAGCCACAGGTAGGTTGAGAGAACTAGATTTGAAAAGTAAATACAACGATTTTAGAGGTTTTAAATTGAAATTTTTTAATTAGTTCAATCTGAACCGTTTCAAATGATGAACCAATTAGGAATTCAATCAAAGAAAACTGAACATTTTTGTTTATAAATTTCTAGTTGGTTTTTAAAATCATCGAAATTTAGGAAAATGAAAAAACAATTAAATACCTCCAATACAATACAAAATCAACGATAGAGCGGTGCACAAATAAGCCAATTTGTTGTTTGCCTGTTTATCCTCTGTCACTTCGCTGTGGTAGTAAGCTATGAAGAAGAATGGTGAGAGAAACATCAAAATGATTGCGAAGAACGTCAGAATTATGCTGGGCAGCATTAGCCTTGGATTTTCTTTCAGAATGCCAAAGACGAACCAGGAATTCACCAGGAGACCGATTACTGCAAAAATTTGAAAAAATATTTCAATGTATTTGAATGAATGAGAAAATTTCAAATTGGTTTTTAAAGAATTTTTCACTTTCATTTATAACATTTATTCATGATAATTGATAAACAAAAGTAACAGCAACAACAATTGTCAACGGCAATATTTAAGGCTGAACAAACAAACTCATTTTTTAAATGCATTTTCAGCTTCTTTTGCCTCATTCAACGGATAACTTCTTCCAAAGCACCGAATAAATTCCCAAGATATCACATCATAGCTCATTATACCATTACGTGCGTGCTTGTGCATTGCTTACGCGCGACATCGTGTCGCCTTTGGTTCCACACAATTATTCTGGAGTGAGTTTGAAATGTTGACTCACCATTCAATACCATTGCATAGCCACTTAAAACGCCAATCATGTTTGCCAAAACACCAAACGCACCAATCAACAGTCCAGCTGCTCTTAAACTAAGGCAACAGCAACAATTGGTTACAGTTGGAATCTTCATTTCTATTTTTATTTCGAAGATCTGAAACTTTCGAAGCAACTTCAAATGTTATGGAACAAGACAATTTTGATTTGGTTTTCAATTATGTCTTTTTTCTTTTATTCTATCAATTTTTTTTCGCTTTTTTGGTTCTTTTTCATCTTTTTTCTCTCTTTTTTCTCAATTTTCTCTTTTTTTCCTTTTTCACATTCTTTTTTTTCTATTTTATATCCTTTTTGTCTCTGTTTTCTCTATTTTCCGTAATTTATCCCTCTATTGAATAGAGAAATTCAATATTTCTGAAATCTTCATTTCGTTGAAACTTCGCTTTAATTTTTAAGAAATAACTGATTTGAACTGTTGCAAAAACTAAATCTTAAACGTGAGCATTGAACAAGAAACGCTTGACATTTAATTAACTGTTTTTCACAATTGCCACTCCAAGTTACAATAAAAGTGTTTTTGCGAAGCCACCAGTTGATTCAACAGCAGCTGAGAGTGATTTCACAACTACGCAGCGCGTGAGTGTCGTTACGACTGGTGAATGAACAATGGAAAACTCTCAGGCGCCAATCGTATGGAAAAAAGCCCATAAGATTCTGCCTCTAGACAAATTATCTCAATAAAACAATCAAGTCACTTCGTCACTCCTTCAATGTAATCAAGTCACTTTGAATTATTTATTTTTTTTGTTTTTCACACAAAAATCGATGGTTTGGTTTTGGAAAAAGTTGAAATTTTTTAATTGATTTCATCGAATAACAAAAAATATTGTGAAGAATAGAACATCAGTTCAACGAATTCAAAATAACATAGACAATGAAAAGTCACACGAAAAATGTCTCTGATAAATAAAAAGAGTCTCAGCTTCAATGTGCTCAACCAACAAAGCTGAACACTTTTCGGTAAATGCTACGAATTATGAATCGAAAAGATGCTCGAAAATGAAACTCCACAAGTGGCAGCGGCGAATGCTCGAGGTTAAATGGATAATATTGGCATCAAGTTTGCATGTAAGTGTAAGTGGACTCAGTGTGCTTTTTGGATGCTTTCACTGGATCGCCCTCGACAGTTGTACATAAAACAATTTCGCTTGAACATTTTGAATACATAACAAAGTACAACAGCCTTTTTCTTGATGTCAAACGCAACGAAGCATTTGGCACTCATCCATCCAATTGCTCACTCAGTGGGTGAGTCATCTACTCATGCACACATAAATCTAATTTTCCTATAAATCGTAAAACAAATATTTTCCAACGACCAAATATGTATCGACAATGTCAGACTACGACAATTTGTTTTAATAGGCAGACGAGATGTCGTCGCAGTAAACAGCGACGCCAATGAGGCGATTCATAGCTTCAATACATGAATATTAGGCCCCATTACAACTTCTTTCGAAGAAAAACTTCAAATAAAATTCATTTTGAAATAAAATCTTTTTTTTTTTAACATTCAGCTTTATATTTATTGTCTAAATGCCACATGGCTTTAAATTCATATCAATTTTTGCCAACAACTTCAATAATTAATGCTCTAAAATCATATATAAAAAAAAGTATAATTATTTATCTGCTGTAATCTGAATAGAAAATTTTATATTCTAAGCATATTTTTGTACTCTTTAGTCACTAAGGGCGTTCATGTTATAAACATTTGCCGTAAATAAATAAATAAAATTAAAAAAAATAAATATATTCACTTTTCACTAAAACCTTTTTATTTTTTTTCAGTTTTTCAAAAGAAAAAAATAAAAAAAATTCAAAGAACTAAATTCCAAATGTCTTTTTCTCATCTGTATACGTATGTTTAGTGAACATTGCTTACATAGTTACTGAAAATAAACAAAGTACAGATAAATCCCGTGTATCATCTCCACTTGCATTGTTTTTTTTTACATTGAAAGTAGTATAAAATCGCCGATTCGGGAACATAGGAAAATACATTGGGCCGATTCGAGAACATATACCGTTGTATGTAAAAAAAAGTGTTCTCGAAGCGGCACCGTGTAATTTTGCTATGTTCTCGAACCGGCCCAATGTATTTAGATATGTTCTTGAATCGGCGGTAATGTATTT